ATTTCTTTATTTTTACAGAGAGGGGAAGGGAAGGAGAAAGAGAGGGAGAGAAACATCAATGTGTGATTGCCTCTCAAGCACCGTGTCCTGGGCACCTGGCCTGCAATACAGGCATATACTCTGAGAATAGAACCGGGGATCCTCTGGTTTGCAGGCCTGGGCTAAATCCACTGAGCTACACCAGCCAGGGCATACCACAGTTTCTTAATCCACTCATCTACTGATGGGCACTTGGGCTATTTCTAACACTGAGCTATTTTTGTAAATAGCATTGCTATAAACTTTGGGTACATAAGTTCTTTTGAATGGGTGTTTTGGGATTCTTAACGTATAGCCCCAACAGTGGAATTGATGGGTCACAAGGCTGTTCCATTTTTAATTTTTTGAAGAAATTCCATACTGTTTTCTACAGTGGCTGCACCAATCTGCATTCCCACCAATGGTGCACTAGGGTTCCCTTTTCTCCACATCTTCACCAGCACTTGTTGTTTATTGATTTATTAATGATACCCATGCCAACGGGTATGAAGTGATAGCTCTTTCTGGTTTTAATTTGAATCTCTCTGATGGCTAGTGATGTTGAGCATCTTTTCATATGCCTATGGGCCCTCTGTATGTCCTCCTTGGAGAAATGTCTGTTCAAGTCCTTTGCCCATTTTTAATTGGATTGTTTGTCTTCCTGATATGGAGTCATATGAGTTCTTTATATATTTTTGAGATTAAACTCTTGTCCGATGTATCATTGGCAAATATGGTCTCCCATATGGTTGGTTCCCCTTTCATTTTGAGGATGATTTCTTTAAATGTGCAGAAACTTTTTAATTTGATATAGTCCCATTTGTTTATTTTTTCCTTTATTTCCCTTACCCAAGAAATAAATCAGCAAAAATATTGCCATGTAGGATATCTGAAATTTTACTGCCTATATTTTTCACTAGAACTTTTACAGTATCACAATGTATATTTAAGTCCTTTATCTATTTTAAGTTTATCCTTCTGTATGGTGTAAGTTGGTGGTTTAGTTTCATTTTTTTTGCATTTCCAGTCCATTATACCAACACCGTTTATTGAAGAGGGATGTTTACTGAAGATGGAATATTTATTGAAGAGGAAGTTGGGATGTTATCCCAACACCCATTGTATGCTCATGCCCCCTTTGTCAAATATTAATTGACCATAGAGACATGGATTTATTTCTGGGCTCTCTATTCTGTTCCATTTTTTCTGTGTGTCTGTTCTTATGCCAGTATCAGACTGTTTTGATTACAGTGGTCTTGTAGTATAGTTTGACATCAGGTATTGTGCTCCCTCCAACTTTATTCTTCTTTCACAGGATCACAGAGGCTATTCAGGTTTGTTTGTTTGTTTGTTTGTTTCCTGAATAAGTTTTTGGAATATTTATTCTAGATCTGTGCAATATGCTATTGGTATTTTAATAGGAATTGCATTGAATCTATAGATTGCTTTGGGTAGTACACACATTTTAATGATCTTAATTCTCCCAATCAATGAAGATGGTATATGCTTCCATTTATTTGTATCTTCCACAATCTCTTCTTCAGTGTTCTATAGCTTTCCAAGTACAGGTCTTTTACTTCCTTGGTTAAATTTATTCCTAGGTCCTTTATTTTTCTTGTTGCTATAGTATGAAAATTGGTTTTTCTCAGTTTCTCTTTCTGATACTTCATTGTTGGTGTATAAGAATGCCATCAATTTCTAAATATTAAATAATAAGTGAATAATACATCTGACCACTCTGTAACAACAGTTCTAGAAGGCATGTATCTCCAAGTAAGCTAGACATGCCAAGAGGCCCTGCTCTAGTAAGATGATCCCTCCAGGTAATCCTCTCAGGAAAGAAAACTCTCTAAAGCTTCCTTTTACAAAAGTTTTGAAACAGAGCTTTCTCGTTTGGCTCTCAATGGCTTTCACAATTGCTTTCTCCTTTTCATTTCCACAGGTTTTAGCAAAATGCTTATGTCACTCCCTAATCAGTTCACCAATTATCATGGTGCTCCAGAGCATGTTTTTCTGGGCCAGATCTGACACAGTGGACCTGGGGGAGGGGAGGTGTGAACAGATTGGCCCACAGGTCATCCACCTTACCTTTGGGAGGGGGACAGTAACCACCCTGCTGCGTTCTTCCCTTTAAGGGGATTGATCTATCTGCCTAACTAGACCACAAAACGTTAACAATGAGCATGTAAATATAAACCGCATTAACATGAAACCACAATTGGCAAAACTAGAGTGGCAAAGGATTACTACATTTTAAAGTATCACAGAGGTTTTTATTATTTTAGTTGCTTTTATGGCATATATCATCTGTGATTTATTGGATGCCACATCCCCAGTCTGAAACAGAACTGTCAATTATTATAATACTTTCCATGGAAACATATCATCTATTCTTTCTCATTCCCTTACTGTTCCCCAATGACCCACTCTCCCACCTCTCCACCCACCCCCCCAACCACAACCTTCTCCATGAGGCCTTCTGGAGCTTCCATTCCTCAATCAAAAACTCTCCAACCCACCTTGTTAACTTTTGAGGTAACAAGGCCAAGAATAAAAATGCACATTTATACTTGTTAAATTAATGTACAGACATTGGAAAGATGCAAATTAAATAAACAAAAGTGTTAATGTATGAGGGCAGTAGCAGTGAGGGAGCATGAAAAGAGTGAACCTGGGTGGGAGCAAGACTCCTCAATATTTACCATTTAAATATAATTTTAATTATGAACCATGAATATATTGCTTACTTAAAAAGTATGATTCTTTAAAACTTACCAACAGCCTCAGCTTATTAAAACCTTTTAATTTAGGCTACTTTTCCCCTTGTCATCATGGAAACCACCCATCTTTGGGGTTTAAATGCCTCTCTGTTCTTCTTAGTGTTTTAAATCCCTCAACCTCATCAATTTGTTTTTCATACCCAGGCCTCCAGACTCCTTCTTTCCCACCTAGATTACAACCCTCTTCCTGCTTTGACTTCCTTCCAATCCAGTCTAGACACTATTTGTATTCTTCTATTCATTCCACTTTTACTGAGAACCTGCTAGAAGCAGGCTCCATTGGATCAGCACTGGGCATCCCTCATCCTAGAATCCTTACCTCCCTTATAAACTTTATTAATGTAATCTCCTGGTTCACTGATTCTCTAAGCTCTGCCCTTAGCTCAATCTACCCTCCACATCTCCATTTCCACATACAGGCTATTCAAAGCTGCTGGCAAAAAGCACGCAGAGGTGTGGATCATTACTATTCTCAACTGCTTATTTAGTACTTGGGGCTGCTCAGCAACCTTACCGCACATTCCTGCTCTCAACTCCCATTTTATGGGAGGCTCTTCCAAACATGGGCCAGATCCCTGACTCTATGTCAGCAGATGACCTGTGACTGAAAAAGATCTGTGCTTTCAGCCTAGGCCCTGAATTAACTCAATCCATAGGCACTGGAAGTACAGTGATAACATGACAGAGAAGGTCCCTGTTCTTGTGGCAGTCAGATCTTAGGAGGATAAAAAAAGACAAACCAATAAACAAATAAGAAAAGTATTATCTGGTGATGGCATGCTACAAGAGTTGAATATAATGAAGAATGAGTGAATGACTCTCTGAGAAGGTGGCCTGGGAAGGATTCTCAAAAGAGGTGACATCTAAATTCAGATGGGAATTACAAGGAGCCAGCCATGCATCACAAATGTTCTAAAGCAGGAAGGAGCTTTACATGTTTCAAAATCCCAAGAACCCTATTGTGGCCCAAGCACACTGGGTAACAGGAGAAGAAAAAAAGTCATCAGGCAGAAATTATATCAAGGGTCATCATAAAGAGTGATGTCAGCCAAGGACATAGTATAGAGTTTACTCTAATTGTGACCAGATGTCATTGGAATGTTTTAAGTAGAGACATGTCTTGACCTAATGCAGTATTTTAAAAAATGATTATGGCTGCAAAGTGAAAGGTATATTAACTATAGGTCACAAATGTGGAAGCAGGGAAACCACGTAGGAGCTTCTGCAGCATCCAGATGGTATATATGGTTTAGCTTAGGGTCTCATTAGAGAAGACACAGAGAAGTCAGTTCATAACATACTTTGGAGAAGCAGGTGTCAGGACTCACCAACTGATTGTACATGCTGGGGTATGTGCCGTTTGGGAAGAACTTAAGGATAACTGTCAGACTTCTACCTAAGCTACAGAGGTGGGAAAGAAATTCATATTTTTACACACCTGAGTTGATGGTATGAGATTTATACTAGACATTTGTGGCACAGAAAGGGATTAAAAGTCTCAAAACAACACTAAACAAGTCAGAAATACTCACAACACCATCTCAATTTTAGTAAAACAGCATCTCCCAGTATCTATAAAAGCATACAGAATGGCTCTATGAGTCCCAGGGCTGTCCTTCAACTGTGCTACTATGTGAAAGGAACTGTTTCCATTCTTAGCTGTAAGAGTGATTTTTTCCAAAAGGCAAATCTGATTGTGGCATTTCTCTGCTTAAAAACTTCCAGTGCCTCCCCATTGCACTGTGAATAAAATCCAAACTCCCCATCAGAGCTCATGGGCTGTGTGTGCATGATCAGGCCCTGCCCATCTCTGCAATCTCACATGCTACTACCTCTCTTACTCATGGCATTTTGGACCCACACCTTCTGATGGTGCCTAGAATGTGTCAAGCTCTCTCCACTCCAGGACCTTTGCACATGTTGGTCTCTCCCAGCTCTTTGAATGCATGGCTGGTTCATTCTCATCCTCAAGTCTCAGTTTGTATGTCACCTCCTTAGGCAATCGGAGTGGGTCCTCTCTTGATCTGTCTGTGACACAGCACTCTACTCATTTCCTTCAGTGTCTACTACAAACTGTAGTGTAGACCTGTTTACTTTTTACTCTCTCCCTCACTAGAATGCAAACCCCACATAAGCAGCAAATGTGTTTGCCCTGTTAGTCATTTCTTCTGGAGCAGGTATCACCACCCAGCCACACTATACCTTGCCAAAGCTGCCTTTCCCAAGCACCATCAGGAAGTTAAAATCACTCAGCTTCATCCGGTCCCTGTTCCCATTGTTGTCAAATTTGGCTATGGTGTTGGTCGTCTTTTCTTCCGGAGCCTTGGTTCCCTGGCCGATCTTGGCTCTCTGAAGTGGGAAGCACACAGACACATCATTAAGGTTTGAGGATGCCTTTGTGGGAAAACACATGTAGACACTGCACACTGGTTCCTGTCACTCATGCCCCATCTCCATTCCTGTGAAAAGCATGGCCCACATCTGTTCTGCAAGGCCTAAACCTGGAGACCATCCTTGGCACCTCTAATTCTCTTGTAGCCCTCATGTCCACACCAGGAACAGTCACTTCTTCCTCCTACCTGCCTCCAGAATTCATCTTCTTTCTGTGTCTACCAACATCATCTACCATCTCCTCTCACCTGGACAACCTACCTCAGTTCCCTCCACACTGGGGTTCCCATGCAGCCAGAGTGAGCTTCCACTTCCTCACACCCAACCAAGTCACCACCTGCTTAAAATGCTTCAGTGGTGACCCATTCCTTTTAGAATAAAGTCTTCAGACTTTTGCTGGTCGATATGGGACAGGATGATAGGGCCCTCCCTAGCTCTCCAATCTCATCACTTCTTAGATCCTTCTTCCCTGCAACTCAGCTTCATTCTTTCACCTCCCACCTCAGGGCCTTTGCAAGTGCTCTTGCTGCCATGTGGATAGCTATTCTCTCACCTTCCTTCTCTAACTTAATTACCCCCAGTTTCACTTCCTCAGGGAAGCCCTCCTTGATTCCTCATGTCTGAACCAGTTGTCCCTACTTGCTCTTCATCCGTTTCACTTCCCATTTACATTAGATGGTAACTGCCTGTTCACTTGTTTCCCTCAGTGCACTGAAAACTCCGAGGGCATGGACAATATCTCATTCTCCACAATTTCCCTAGTATATTTCAACTGATATAGTTTCTGGCTCCATGGGTAAATGAATGGGCAAGTGAGGCCTATGTGTGTCCTCAGTGCATTGGGGGACGGACCTGCTTATGGGAGCAGCAGAACAGTGACTCAGATGGCAGCAAATGCTCCCAAAGAAGCAGAGAATGGGAGACCAGCAGTCACCAGAACTTTGTTACTGATTTGCTTCTAGGAGTGAGAAACTTGTGGCATTAAAAGCTCAGTTTACAATCCCGACTCTGGGGTTATGATCCTGAGTTAACAATGCTCCTTCGTCCAACATCCCAGACTTTTCTGTCTCTCTCAGAGAAACAGCCAAAGGCCACAGATAACCTGGCCCTCCCGCATTCTCTGATTTCAGCCCCTTCTCCTTGCTGCCACCACACTGGCCTCACTGCTGTTCTCTGAAAGCACCAACCACACTCTTGCCCTAGGACCTTTGCGCTTGCTGTCTTCTGTGCCTAGAGCTCTTCCCAGAGAACTCCCTCACCAGAAAAGAGCCTTTCACCAAGTGCCCAACATGAAATAGCTCTCAGATATCTCTCTCTGCTTATTCACTTTATTTTCTCCATCTCTTGTCACCACCTTATAAACCAGATATTTACTTGTTTCTTAATTTATAGTCTTTCTCCTCACACTAGAAGACAAACTCCATGAGAGCTGCCCAGTGCAGAGAGGCACTTACTTGCATTTGGTGAATGAACTTTTCTAAATTTCAGTCGCCTTTTCAAGGAAATGAGTTAATGACATGAGATAATACATTACAAAGTTCTCAGCACCATGCCTGTCCCTTAGAAGATGCTCAGTGAATGGTAGGTATTACTATTATTGTATTGTTCACTTTTATTTTGAAGACAAAGAGGCAAAAAAAAAACCTTTCCATGGTTTTTAATATCATGGAACATTCATTCATTCAAGAAGTACTTATTGAGTGCCTGCTACATACCAGGGATTACCTTATATTTGGAGGATGTATCAGGGAGGAAAGCAGATAGCCATGCTCAAAGAATTTGCATTCCAGCAGGAACTGGGTCTTCTACCCTATGTCCAAAATGTATTTTGGAGTTACCCAGGAAAAGAATTTGGAGTCACAGCAGAAACAGTCTTTAGAGACCAAAGAACAAGACACATTCAAAGAACTAAAACGCTATTCCACCTGGCTAGAGCATAGAGTGCGAGGCAGACACAGCCTGGGATGCAGCCAGAAGGACCTTACAAGCCCCATCAGGAAGATTCAGCTGATTCTGAGCACACAAGGTTTTCACAAGGCTGTGGTGTGACCCTATCACATGGAGGAGAGCGCCCTGGGCTTAGCGAAGAAAGCCATTTAGAGGACATGAATTTGGAAACCATTATGAAGTGACTGCAGTCATCAAGGTGGAAGTGGCAGGGCCTGAACTTGGTGTCTGCAGTGTGGATGGAATGAGGTAGGCCATCTGGGAGACAGACCGGACGTGGATTGGGTGATGGAGGTCAGGAGTGAAAGACAACTCTGCTGTTTGGAGCATCTGGGAGGACAGTGGTGCTTTCTGCTGAGATGAAAGGTGGAGGAGGGGCAAGTGTGGGCCAAACGGTGAGAAGTGACTAGTCTGATTTCAGAGTCATTGAGAGTCCCCCTTACCTATATATAGTGGCTTAAAACTGCAAGGTTTATATCTTCCCCATTGGTGAGGTTCCATTTGTCATGCTGACGAAGCATCCACCATTGTTTTCTTTTTGTAACTAATGTTGAAAGGTTGAAGTGGATACAGGGAAATGAAATCTTAGGTGTACCACTCTGTGAATTTTGACAAATGTATACGCACAAGTAGCCCAAACCCTAATCAAGATATAACACATTTCCATCACCCTCAGGAGGTTCCCTCGGGCCTGTTCCCAGTCCATCCTCCTCCCACACGGGGAATCTGCTCTGACTTCGACCCTCAAATGCTGGTTTTGTTTGTTCTTGAACTACACCTAAATGGAGTGATAGAATGTGACACAATAAGAAATATATTTGGTTTCTGTCCCTCGTGTTGCTGACACAGAACTCCTGAAACCCTTGGAATTTCCTCAGTGACAGGGGTGCTGGGAACATCTTTTATTCTACTATTTGGCCTTTGTTCTCAGTTCCTAGCATAGAGCTCCTAAACCCCTTGGAATTTCCTGTATTACAGCAGCATCTTTTTTCTAGAAGGGGACTCTTGGTGGGCTCTGGAATGTCTCCTGGATGGAGGCTGGTCCAGGAGGACCAGACCATGACTGGAAACTTGGAGCTTTCAGCCCCTATCTTCTAGAACTGGAGATCAAGTAAATAATTGATCATGCTGACATGATGAAGTCTCATAAAATTCCATAAACTATGTGGTTTGCAGAGCTGCTGGGCTGGTGGACGCATCCACAAGCAGGGAGGGTAGTGCACCCCAACTCCACAGGAACAGAACTTGCACTTGGGACCCCTCTGGACCTTGCCCTGTATAGCTGTTCATCTGTATTCTTATCAGATAAACCAGTATAACAAAAGTGTTTCCTTTAGTCCTGTGAACAAATTACTAAACCTGAGGGGGGGGGGGGGCCTGGGAAGCCCTGATTAGTAGCCAAGCCAAACAGAGTACAGGTAACCTTGAGTTCCACTATTTGTGATTGGAGTCTCAAGTGGGGGCAGTCTTGTGGGATTGAGCCCTTAACCTGTGGGATCTGCGCTAACTCCAGGTAGTGAGTAACAGAATTGAATTAAACTGTAGGACACCTGGCTGGTATCTGCAGAGAATGGGAGGATTGCATGGTGTGAAAAACCTACAACTTTAGTGAAGTATCAGAGGAAGCAGTCTTGCATTTGGCTTCTTTTGTGTGTGGTAACATTGTTGAAATGTACCCCTCTTGTTGCATGAAATCAGTAGTTTGTTCCTTGTATTGCTGTGTCGTGTTCATTGTTTGTATTAATCCCCTTTTGGGCTACTAACAAAGTTGCCGTGAACATATGTGAACATACTCAGTCAAGTTATTTTATAGTAAGATATGTTGGGATTTAAGTGTCTCTGTGACAACCCAGTGTGCATACCCAGTAAGAAGTTGTCTATGTGGACTGGAGGTTAAGAAACAATACATAAACCGGAGACAGGGATTTGGGGATTACTGGCATGGAGGGGGTAGTTGAAACCACGGGATCATCAGGGAGAACGCAAATAAGAGAAGAGCCTAAAACAGAAGTTGCATTGCCTTTTTTGAGCCATGTCCTCCCGTCATCCCAAAGTTTTACTTTCCAGCCCCCAGAATTTTGCTGTCCAAGCTGTCTTGACCCAAACACATTCTTCCCTTCCCACCCTGCCATCTCTTTGATTTATTACTACGTCCTCAACCTTCTCTGAATCCTGATTCAGGATGCATCCAATTCACACACTCCATTCTTCAACCTGTGAAGATTCTCCCACTCCTGACTGTCCCTGGTTCCCAGGCCCCATTCCAGCCCTGAGATTTTCATGCCCACCACCTGTAGATCCCAAAATACCCTGCAAGTGAAACATGACTGCAGAGCAAAATCTTCCCCATTTCTCCAACTGACTTTGCTTGAAGGAAATTTTTTTTCTGTCCTTCAGGGAGCAGTGAGTGGCCAAAAGCTTCATCCCTTAGTCCTCCAAGTGACCTTCTTTGCTCTGAATTTGAGGCCAATAGTCCTCTGTCCATATTTCATCCCAAATTGCTTTTGAGTCTTTTCTCATAGATATGTGTTGGAATCTTAGCTCCTAGTGTGATGGTATTTGGAGGTGGGATGTGGGACTCCCATTCATGAGGGTTGAGCCCCCTCTGCACTAGTTTTTCCTCCTTCTTACTATCTGCCTGAAAAAAATTTGAGTTTGTTACTCCTATATAGTGAGATTTGGAGGACAAGAACTCTGTCCTGTGTTCCTCTGAAAGTCCCATAATTCCAGAGTGACCCTAAGGGGAAAAAAAGACACCAACTAAAAAGGGCTCCTGGGGGCTAACTGGGCTCAAAAAGCAGAAGCCTAGCAGCCATTTCTGCACAAGGGCTTTTCACATAAACTGCACTTTGCAAAGGAACCTTTGCAATAAACTGCCTGCCTCCACAATGGAACTGCCTGTTTGCACTGTGTTCCTGCCATCTGAGCCAGCCCTCATAAAGGAGGTCATTCCCCATCCAATCAGAGCTATGCAGCTCTGACCAATCACAGCAGCTCTATTCTGACCAATCAGTACAGTGCCTTTGGAGCAATCAAACTATGAGGATTTGGAGTCTTAATTTGCATAAGATGGACCAATCAGGGACCAGGGGTGGGGATTTCTGTATATAGGCTGGCTCCCCTTTGGCTCAGAGAAGAGGCCTTCTACCAAAGACTAAAGACTGTGTTTCCCAAGCTAGAGCTGAAACACAGAGCAGACCACTGTGGAGCAAAGCAGACTGTACCACTGTTGAGCTATCTGCACCAAATAAAGTCTCCTTCTTCACTGCACCCTAAATTGGATATTCCTGTTGGCAATGAATTGGTGCCAACAACCATTAGCCTCAACAACCAGTGACCCCATGCCTAGAAGGTTCTCCATCAAATCAAACATTTTAAAATTGAGGCCCAAATTAAAACTATCCTCTGTCTTCCTGGGTTGGATATGTCTTGAGAAACAGGAACACATTAATGGTTACCTTTTCATGTCTGTGATTTAGAGGCCTAGAACCCAGTGTTCAAAGAGACAACAAATAGACTGCACTTCTGAGCAGAGAGCTCTGCCTGTTTCCAGACTCTGCTGGGTAGAGTGAAGGCACCTCAGCAGCCAGCCTCCATGGCTTCATTTCAGATGACTAATGCCTGTCCTGGCTTAAGCTATACTCCTTTGCCATCCCCACCTCTCCAAGGAGCTCCCACAGCCCTTCCCACCCCTGCCGGTACACAGCCACAGGGTCTAGGACTCCCTGGCCCACAAGCAGCCTTTCCCAAGCCCAGGAGTATGCCCTGAGCTTTATTTATTTCAAGGGGGAGCTGATAATGATAATGACAACCTGATATTTGAATGTTCTGACATGCCAGATGCTGTTCTTTTTTTAAAAAAAGATTTTATTTATTTATTTTAGAGAGGGAAGGGAGGGAGGGAGGGAGAGAGAGAGAGAGAGAGAGAAACATTAATGTGTGGTTGCTGGGGGTCATGGCCTGCAACCCAGGCATGTACCCTGACTGGGAATCGAACCTGAGACACTTTGGTTCAATCCACTGAGCTACGCCAGCCAGGGCTCAGATGCTGTTCTAAGTGCATTTGTCATTCAATCCTTACAAAACCTTATGAGGTAAGAAGCACTGAGTCCCCCATTTTACAGAAGGAGAATTAAAGGTTCAGATACTGAGTAACTTGTCTATAGCACTCAGCAAAGAAGGGGCAGAGCTGGGATTCAAAGCCAAGCAGCTTGGGTCTGAAACCACTGGTACAGAATAGGCTACACTGCACAGATGCAGGCCCAGGTGTCCTACCAAGACCCTGTGGGACACTTCTCTCTACACCTGGGCTGCTTGTCTAGAACACCCATGATCCTGCCTGTGGGCTCATGTCCTGGTTGTATGAGAAGCACAGCCCACGAGCAGGGCAACTTGGAAGTGCTGGCAAGTTAATTCTCCCAGAAGCAGCACTTAGCCACAAGTGAAGGGAGCAGGTAGATGCTTCAGTTTCCTGTCCCTAGACTGGGAAACCCTGTAGCACTCAACTCCCAGCTGGATGAAACCCCAGTTACCCACAGTGGTAACTTACTTGGCAACACATGCTCTTCCGGCTCCCTTCCTTTCCCTGTACCACTTCCCCACTACTCTGTGCTGCCTCCGGGGATCTCCTCCAAAGAAACCATCTACACTCGAATCCTTATAGTCCGCTCAAAGCAGAACAATGACCAGCTGTGGGATGTAAGAAAGTGGCCTAACCTGTCTGGGCCTCAGTTCCCTCACTGGTAAAAGAAAAACTGGGATGTTAATAGCATTTACCATTCAGACCTGTCATAAGGATTGAATTGAATGAGTTAATATGTCTAGAGTACTTAAAATAATAAAGAGCACATAGACAGCATTTTATTAAATTTAAAAATTCTAAGAAAATTTTAAGAAAAATGTCAGAAAACCCATTCTGAACCATCTAAAATGGTGCCTTCCTTTCGCTGGCCCATCAGCAAGCCACAGTCAGAAAAAAAAAACAAAAAACAACAGAGCCCACACGGAACTTCTTCTAAAACAAATCACACATAATAATCGCACCCTACTCACCCTACTGTGAAATTCTCTTACCCCAATCCCAGCAGCTCAATTTTACCATCACTCAGAATTTCTCTACATGAGAGACTTGCAAGTAATTTCTGAGTCATTCTGGGTGCTAATTGGTTATTGCACAGAGATTACATTTCTCATGTTCAAGGTCAAGTGAAACTCCACTATATGTCCAAGAACAATTTCATTCTGTTGGAAACTTTTTTAAGCAACAACTATGGTTGGAGCAATTATAATCCAGGTATTAACAAGTGTCTGCAGGCTCGTGCTAGAATTAAAGGGGGCACATTTTATACATGCAGACAAAATAGTCCTTTACTTCAAGTCAGTAACTGGCCCAGATAAATGCTCTGTTCATGTAGGAAATATGTTCCTTGGTGTTCTGAAATGCCACTCCAGCTGCCCTAGGACAGAAGAAATCATTTTGCACAATTGAGACTTCATTCTGTACAAGCAAATACTGGCCTTTTTTTTTTCACCCACAGTAATACATTTTAACACAGCAGTGAATGGATACATCATCAGGAAGGTGAGGGAAAGAGATGGAAAAATGTTTTCTGGAAGGCCTTGTTTTTTATCAAACAGTGTCCAGTTCTCAGTTCTACTGGATGGGAAGTCCTTCTATTAACTCTTTGGGTCTTGAGCCAGGTATACAGTAATGACCCTCAGCCACCAAGTTCAGTGGAGAATGACTCACACATAGGCTCAAGGCCAGCATGCTTATTCCACTCATTTCCAGAAAGGGATATCCCACTTGGTCAGAACCATCGCCACAGTACAGGTTTTATGGGGGGCATAGGCTCAAGACAAGGGTCAGCACTCAAGTGCCATTCCTGTCAAGTTCAGGGGGAAACTAACATGGCTATTGAAATAAATGGCAAAATCCTTGCCAAGGCTAACACAGCCCTTCTACTTGGACCTCCTCCTCCCTCCCCAGCCTTACCTCAACTCACCTTTGGCTCTCCCTACACTGCCCTTCTGTCAGCCTCACATAGCTGCTATATCTCCCCACCACAGGGCATTTGCACATGCTGTCTTTTCTGACTGGAATGCTTTCTGCTCCTCTTGACTAGGTTAACTTTCCCTGTTGTTTTCTCAATAACATCATCCCTGTGTTCTCAAAGTTATACTTCCCTCTTATGTTCTCAAAGTGCCATGGACTTCTCTTCCACAGAACTTACCTGGTCATATTTTTTTTATATTTGCTTGTGTGATTATTTGATGAATGACAATGATGGTAATCTATTTTGTTTTTAGGTGTTGTGTACATTTTTTTCAGAGTCAGCAGGCCATCACTGCTTATCTAGAATTGGTAATTTTCCCATCAGACTCAGTATATCAAGTTTACATGAACAAAATCATGTTTTCCCTCGTGAAACAACTATAAAATCACTCAGTACACAAATAATGAAAGAACTAAAACCCATCTCCACAAAACACTCGCTTTGTAAAAGCAGGGTGTGTCCTACATACCAGTTAACTCTCAAAAAGATGGCAACAGGGTTTATTGGGCCCCACAGAAGAGAAGCAGTTTGTATGAGGCAAAAGCAGAGCCAGCACTAGAGCCAAAGGTCATAGCCAAGGTCAGGGCTCCTATTCTTTGAAATATACACTCATGGTTATTTCATGAAGTCACCAGCACTGTGAATTCCATTTTTCAACAGTATGGCACCATTCTGCCAACATATCCAAATCCAAATTCTATCCCTCAGCAAAGCTAATTGACTTGGCCTCCAAAATACATCACTATTCTGTCCACTTTTATTTACCATCACTACCATCCCAGTCCAAGCCACCACCAAAGTGACCTGGGCAGAGTGAGCACTTTTAAGAAAAGGTCCAAATCTGAATGAAGACAGGGAGGTGGGAATGCCTTCACAAGGCAGGGAACACTTAACTGAAGTCTTGAAGGATAAATAGGAGTTTTCTGAGAGACAGAACATTGCAAAGGCACAAAGTCATGAAAGGCCTTGGAATGAACCACACCGTATATGGGAAAAACAGCACAGAGGTAGACTCAACCAGTTCCCGTTGATGCAAAAAGAAAGACGTCTCACCTCAAATTTCTGCCGCAGTTCCTCATTGCCTTCACCTCCTTCCGGTGGCACGGGCACATTAAAATACTCGCCCTCCTCCTGGCTCAGCAGCTTAAACCTAAAGAGAGACAAGGGGCCAGGACAAATTCCATTACTCTACTTGATAGTATTTTGTTGGTAGAACAAAAGAAAAAGCCTTGGAAAAGCTCTATTTAAAATAACATGTGGAAGGTTTGTGGGTTTGTGTGTGTGTGTGTGCGTGTGTGTGTGTGTGTAGCCAGTATGCTATATATTTTTATTTTTGTAACTATTCCATGGATATCAGAAAAATGTATATTCTGTATTTATAGGATGCAGCTCTCCCCCTGACATACCCACAGCACTACTGTCTTAGTTGTATCACTCAAAACTGCACATTTTCACCTTTTTTTTTTGCCCATTAAGTGTTCTTTCATTCTGAAAGAACTCTATGAAGACCTCTGCTGCCTGTGTGTTCCTATCACACTCCCCAACATTGTGACTATATTTTATTTCTCGCATACTCCAAGCATGTTATCCTAGCACTTGGGCATTTGGATGACTGTGAACCCCACGATGCTGTTTTTCTCTGTAGAAGCCTTCCAGAAGTTCTTGACCTCATGAGACACGGACTCCCTTCATGACACACTCATGAGTCCTAGGGTCAAATCATGTCTGGGTTCAAATATCACCTCCACATTTGCCTCCTAGGATTCTCTCAGAGAAGTTGGTTAGGCCCCCTGAGTCTTGATTTTTCTCATCTTTAACTGGAATAAAAGCCTCTGTTTCAAAAGATCATTGTGAGGCTGAGATGTGATGATGTATGTAAAATAATAAGCACGGTGCCTGGCACTTAGTAAGTGTTCCATAAAAGACACCATCATCACTGATATTAATATTATTATAAGAAACATTATGGCTTCAGTTGTTTTCTCACCACCAAGATGTTTCAGCCTAGTCAACAAGATGAGACTGAGGAAGCAAAAGGAACGTTCCACAGATACTCAAGTCAATGGGTGGGGGGAATATCCCAAAACTCCTCACTCCCAAAAGAGTCTTCCTAACCAGAATTTACAATTTTCATCACAATTTTTTTCTCCATTCACAAATCATCCAGGCAGCTTCTAAAAATAGGGAATCAGTGATTCAAAGCAGAGATGACAATCCGAGCCTCCCATTTAATATTCAATTCTGCCCTTCTGAATCCCCACTGGAATTACAAAAAGATATACAAAAATAAGAGAACATTTGTATGTCTGCTAGAAATCAGGAAAGGTGCTTTCCACACAGCATAGACCTCTGGAAATTTCCCCAAATTAAAGTCATACTAAGAGGACATGGAGCAATATTTGGCAAACATTATTCACCTTTGTGGATTTTGCTAAGTCTGGTTATTATGGACTAATACTTTCATTACATTGTCTCTTTTTTTAATAATAAATTCACTTTGAAGGGACACTTGATAGCTCTTGTAAAGAAGGCCAACGTCACTTGTCACAAGAAGAAAGTAACTATAAAAATATTAACATATACAACTCAATGCTACCCAAGTCCAAGTTGATGGTGTAACTTACAAAACCTTCCTTGTTAGAACAGTAAGTCATCAAGCAGGCTGGAATGGGACTCATCTCTTCCTCAGGCATTTGGATGACTGTGAACCCCACGATGCTGTTTTTCTCTGTAGAAGCCTTCCAGAAGTTCTTGACCTCATGAGACACGGACTCCCTCATGACACGCTCATGAGTCCTGGGGTCAAATCATGTCTGGGTCCAAATATCACCTCCACATTTGCCTCCTAGGATCCTCTCAGAGAAGTTGGTTAGGCCCCCTGAGTCTTGATTTTTCTCATCTTTAACTGGAATAAAAGCCTCTTTTTCAAAAGATCATTGTGAGGCTGAGATGTGATGATGTATGTAAAATGATAAGCACAGTGCCTGGCACTTAGTAAGTGTTCCATAAAAGACACCATCATCACTGATATTAATATTATTATAAGAAATTATTATAGTGTCCACACTATAAAACACTGTCTTGGTTATCAGATCAACTGTCCCAGTATCACATGCTTAAATTCAAGTCACTCTTATTTTACTTAAGAATGGCCCTACAGCACAAGGACAGTGAAGCTGGCAATTTGGATAAGCCACAGAGCTGTACTGCGCTTCCTTTAAGTGAAAAGGTGTGTGTGTAGGAAAAACATAGCATGCACAGGGTTTGGTCCTGCCTGGGGTTCTGGGTTTCCACTGGGGGTCTATCTATGAACAAGAGGGGCTACTGTGAAGGCACACTAATTACAAAAGAACTGCAATTACAGAAAGGAAATTACAAATAGAACAGCAGACCTTGAGTAAGCAACCAAAGCTAGAACATAACTTCAAAACTTGGAGGAAATATTTATTTCCTCAATGCTTGCTCATTATTTTTAAAGAGCAAAGGATGTTAAGAGAGGAAAAACAAATTAGCAAAATATTCAACTGAAATTCAAAGAAAACCACAAAACAAACCTACAGGAAATGAGGGAAAAAAGAAACAAAACTGATATACAAATCCTGTAGCCAATTCTCCAGAGGAAAAGTACCAAAAACAACAATAAAACAGGCAAACCTCTGGAAAACAAGGGGAAAGAAAGGAGACAACATAAATAAAATTAGAAACAAAGAAGAGAATCTGATAACAGACACAGAGCTAGTGGCAAAGCAACAGATGAGGGGCCTGAGGCAGATGCTCCACATCTGGGAGCTTTCACAGCTGCTTTTGCTGCCTCAGCCACATGGCCTCACATCACAGCACACAGAATAGCTGGGAGGGCTTATGCAGATGGGGAAAATGAGTCTTGGACAGGACATGTGACTTACTGTGGGTCACACAGTGTTAAAAAAAATTCCTGGGACAAGAATCCTAATTCCTAGAATTTGATACATTTAGAGTTAGGACAGCATCATTTTGGCCCTAAATCTGAAGAGTACTTTTATCTACAAAATCTGAAGAGGGCTTTTATTTTGTAAAAGTTCCCTTCCAACTCTAATTTTATCATCCTCACAACTATCCTAGAAGGTGGATTTGGGGGGAAGGGTGTGCTGTAATCCTTGGTGATCCTTGGGGAATGGAATCACATCTGCAGATATGGCCATTGTATGGAGAGGTGATGTGATTTACCAAAGGTCACAAAGCATCTGTCCACGTAAGAGAGGCAAGGTCAAAACCTTCTCATCTGCCCTCCAGGCCTCTGCCATATTATCAGGAGGCAGAATGCGATGTCTGTGTACAGACTCTGACATTGCAAGGACCTAGACCCAAACTCCAGCTCTGTCACTCATGAGCTGTGTGTCCCTCACACGTTGCTTGACTACTCTGATCCCAAGAACAATACTCCACTCAAAACTGTTGAGAAAATTAAAGGATGACCTAAGTGTAAATGCAGTAATACTTGGGATCAAGTATTGGGAATAAGTATTACTCCTGATGTGCCGTCCCCTATCATTAAGCCACTTTGTCCTCCCTGCACTCTGCTGTCTGCTTCAAGGGAGTAGAAAGCCAGGCATTGAGCCAGGAAGAGGGATGTGGCATCTGTGGAGATAGCCCTGCCCCTTGGGGCCTGGAGAACCATAGGCAGGAGGAAGGGAGAGGACAGGGTGAAAGCAGAGGGGCTTCGCCTCCCTCCTCATGGGGCCCTGGGCAGAGACCTACGTAGAGGCCAGAGTGTCAGCAATAGCAGCTGCAGGTTGGAAAGAGGGAGGACTCTGAGACCATGCTCCTGTCTCTCCATTTGGGAGCCTCAGACATGACAGGTCATGGAAGTGCTGAGTGGGTGGAACCTGGCAGTGGCCTGGGGGTGGGACAAAGAGGACATGGTGTGGAGGAACCTCCCAACCAGAGGCCATAGGCCAGGGACAGGACTCCAGCCTGAATTCAAAGAGGTGTCACAACTCCAGTTGGGACCAGGTGAGATGAGCCACTGCAGCAGTGATGGCCAGAAGGCACCACACACAGTGCCAGTTCCCTTGTCCTTGGCCAACAAGATGTCACAAAACTGTACAAGGTCTATTACAGAATGTAAAGAAGCTATGTTTTTTCCACACATCTAACTAGTGCTGTATCAGTGTGACTCCCAAAACCTGGAAAGTTGTCAGCCTCGTGCCAGCCCTCTAGTACGAGTCAATAAGTGGTAGCTATTGCTATTATAATTATTATTATTATATTCTCTCCTGTATCACTTATATTCTGCAGGGATGGTACATTCTTCCTGTTAACTTCTTTATGCCTGACTTAAAGGGGAACACAAAATCTGTGAGTGGTGATGGGGGAGCATGCAAAGTTAAATAATCCATATGCTAAAAATATTATCCAAAACTCGGGGAAAATGCAAAAAGATGATGGTGTGACCTTTTAATACCATGCTAGAGCATTTCCTAATTAGTCCTCACCTTCTTCAGAGTACTCTGACTTATTCACAACCCAGTAGGGTGCAGACAGTCTCCCAACTTTGCAAAGCTGGATGATCATGGTTAGAAGACAGAGGTGAGATTTTGCTCCTCTAGTCCACCAGATCAGATAACCTCCAAGGCTGTGATCTCTTTGCTCTGTCCAAACTACTATGGTTTTATCTCCAACTTCACACAGTTATTTCAGCATTCCATTCTCTACTGACATACAAACCTTTGGAACCAGCCACTTCTCTTCTTGGTTTCCTCACTTGTGAGCTAAGGAAAACTTTGACAAATTCTTATCTTATGAGAATTACATTTTTAACCATTTTTTAACTGTGCTTTAAGACACTTTAGTAGTAGTAGTAGTAGTAGTAGTAGTAGTAGTAGTAGTACTCTGGGCTTCTGTTCTCTTCACATGTCTGATGATGTCATTGATTAGTTATCTGTGTAATTTCCCCTTCAAGGTTTATCTTCCTCCTCTGGAAGCTCAGCTCCATGAGAGCATGTCTGTCTCATACTTGACACATCTCTAGTGACAAGAATGGAGCAGACACTCAGTACATATTTGAGTAAAAGCCCCTGATACATACAGAGGAGAGATAAAGCATTTGGAAGGTGAACAATGTGAGGTCCCGGTGATCTGTTCTTTCTTGCTAAACCAGTTTGATTTTAATTGAGTTTCACTTGTAACTGAAAAGGCCCTCAATGAGAGCATTCAGAAATGAGAGAATTTCTCCTAAACAGATCAGAGAGAGCAGCCACTAACCCTCACTCTGTCAAACCAACAGTTCCAGGATGGCTGTCTATTCTGACTCCTTTACTCAAACAACTGGAAAACAAATGGTTGCCAAGGAGGCTTACCCAGCCTCTTAGTTGGGAATACAGGGCACGGACTTTTTGGCAAAAGCTCCAGAACAAAGGAGAGACAGTGTGCTGACCCTGCCAGCCAGCCCCAACACTTAGCAGCCAGGCTTGGGAGCAGTCCCAACGACAGAGAATCTTCCTAAAGAGTCAAAATCTGGCAGTGACAAATACAAAACCCTGTCCAAGGGGGCATCAACTCTTCAACTATTCTCATTTGATTGTGTGCTCAGACTTTTCTAGCTTTTCAAGACAGAAGTTCAGTTTTTATGGGAAATCACTCGATTTTTTTAAATATTGGCAATTAATTTTTTTCTTTCAGTACAATGACCAAATAAAACATATTTGTGAGGCCAAGCCAATCTATCAGCCATCACTTTGTGACTCTGCTTCAGTATTGCACTTTTAGGAGGAAAAGGAAGACAGCCTCGATCCCATGTTGGATGGACCCAGCTGTCTGTATTGCAGCTTCCAAAGGGAAATCTTCCTTACCAGCCATCAACACCAGCTTTCTGCAGTTCAGAAATCCCAAATGACAGAGATCCCATGAAGTCATTCCGGCTGGTCAGATCCCAATCCCAAATCTCCACAGACAGCCTCCTGTCTTTGTCCGATTCTTTCAGCTGGCTGTGGGAGGGAACAAAGGGGATGTCAGGGGTTACAGTGATTTCTCAATCAGATAAAATGTACAAAAGGACAAGACCCAAAGGTAGGAATTTTTAAAGATTACAAGCTGTTGCAAAAATACACATTCTGTTTCCATTCCAGGCAAGCTCCCCAGGGAAGAAGAGCTTTTTCTGTTTGAAAGCCTGTGGCTTAAAAAGGCAGAGGGCCCAGGCCAGCTCTGAGGGGGGGCAGTTCTAGCTACTTCTGTTGCCTTCCTTATGTCTTAATAGGGCTTGTGGCGTTCTGGAAACTCTCACTATAAGAAATATGGGTGTTGATTATGTGACTGTGTGGGTGTTCGCACACACAGGTTAAATGAGGCTGGGGAAATGGATAAAGGAAAGAGTCTCGCTGGTGCTGGTCTGGGGGAAATTGTATGTTCTGAGGCATCTTCTTGGTTCTGGCTGAAATGGGCTCTCATTTTCCTTGAGAGAGGAAAGAGGGGATGAGGCTACCCTCAAGGAATCATGCTTTTGGCCTGTGGCCTCGCGAGTCAGACTGTCCAAGGCTGACTCTCACTCTACCCTGTATTTGCTGTGGGACTTTGGGCGTGTTCTCTAAGCCCCATGGGTAAAATGGGGTGATGTGACCAATGGAGCTAGATCACTTGATACAGTGCTTGTTACACATAGTATATGCTCAATAAACGTCAGCCGCTATCATTAACACTTGTTGGTCCAGCTGCATCAAAAAGCGAACCCCAGGTTTTTGGAGCACCAGCCAGGCAAGATCTGCATGGAAGCTGGCAGGAATCTTCCGTGCAGAGTCTTGAAATAAGACATCAGGCTGCAGGCCCAGCACTTTCCACAAACTCAGCCTAGAGAAGTGATCACTACACCCTATGGGTTTGCAGAGACCCTGAGCTTCCCACAACTTGCCTTCACCTAGCAACACATCATACTATTTTCTATGCCACCCACTCCCCCACACCACAGACATTCTCGACTCTATTTAAAAAAACAGGCTCCAATGTTTATTTGGCTTGCAATACAAAAATGCAGATGGAAGGGGGGGGAAGAAGGAAGAAAAGATTGGGGGAGGAAAGGAGGGAGGGAGGGAAGGAAACAAAGGCTGGGAGAGGAGCTCCCAGATCTCAGGTGGTCTACCCCTCATGCTAGGCTGCAATAATTTCAACTTACAATCTGAATGTCTCGTTCCACTCGGGGTTGAGGGAGCACTTGATTGTTTTGGTCTTCTGTTTGCTCTCACTTTTGGGGTCAGGAATGAGTTTCAGTTTCACGTAGGGATCTGATAATCCGTTGGGGTCCATAGGTACAAGGTTTTTAGCATCTCTTACTGAAAAAAGAAAAAGCAGTTTCAGCATCAATAGTGTCCCAAATGTTTCAGCACCAACCAGCAATGGCTACAGAGCCTATAGAAGGGTTCTTGAAGGCATCACACTTAATGAGAATTTTAATTAACATCAATAGCTAAAAAGCATCCAAAGTGAGAGAAACTGATAAGATATGGTTTAAAATTGATTTAAATTGGTTTAAAATTTATTTCTGACTTTCTTAATGGTCCTCCTACTCTACCCCCAAGATGAACTTCAAGTCCTCTAAGCTCATTTTCCACAAAGGCTACAAGGAAGATTAGCTTCTTTCATTTAGCATACTGTTTTAAAGGTTCATCCACATTGTAGCATGTATCAGTGCTTCCCTGAATAACATTCCATTATATGGATATAACAAATTTTGTTTACCCATTCATCAGCTGATTAACATTAGAGTTGTTTCCACCTTTTGGCTATTGTGAATAATACTTCTGTGAACATTTGTGTAGCCTGACACAAAAGGTCACATATTATATAATTCCACTGATATGAGACATGCAGAACAGGTAAATCTCATGAACAGAAAGCAGACTAGCAGTTGCCAGAGGCTGGGGACCGGGAGAGGATGAAGACTGACTACTTAATAGGTATGTGGTCTCCTTTACAGGTGACAAAAATTTCTCAGATCTAGACAGAGAGGATGATTGTGTGCACAACACTGTGATTGTACTAAATGCTACTGAACTATGAATTCTTATAAATGGTTAATTTTATATGATGTGAATTTTACTTCAATTCAAAAGGGAAAAGCTAAGAGAAAGAAAGATCTGTCCACTAAACCAAGGTATACCCATCATCCAGGTAGCACCCACACCGAGTGTCCAAACAGCCTATAGAGAGAAAGAAGGCTGGAAAAATATTGGTTCCACCTTCCATCAAGAACACTGTTTAAAAGAAGCTATAAGACCAGCTTAGAGAAGGAAAGAAAGCAGAGGCTCGGCAGTGTAGATGTTGGCCATCTTAAGGTGGAATAAGACATCAGGCTGGACAAACAGGAAGAAGTTAATTAAGAATTGATTCAAAAACCAGTAACATAAGTAGCCAGGGGAAGGAGATGAGAAAATGGGAGTTGTACAGATCTTAAGGATACTGTGCCAACCATCACACTTATGATAGAAAAGTCCAAAGTATATAGCATTAGCAGATTGAATCAAACTATCTGCCAGAAGACTAATATCTAAGATACCTGGCAGGAATGAGAAGGTGGTTCAACCTTAGTATGTCTACTATTAAAATAGTCATCATATTTATACGTCAAAGGGGAAAACCTCAAGATCATTACAATTAGTTAGAAATAGCTAATTTCATTCACAGGATAAAGGCTATCTGAAATAGCACCACAGTTAACAATAAATGCAATCCTATTGAATTTAGGAATAAGACATATCCATGACCACTGCCATTATGGAACATCATTTCTAACTGTTCCATAAATGCAATAAAACAACAGAAACAGAATATTGCATAGTAGGGAGTAGAGCATCCCCTTACTTCCTGCATCCTTTGCTTCTACCTCATTCATCACCTCCTACCTGGAGCTTATTATCCCCAAAATGACATCACTTTCTCAATTCAATTTTATGTATCCCAAGATCTTACACCACTTCCTGTTTTCTCAGTTAATTAAATCTAGTACCCCACAGCAATAAGTCTTTTACCACAAATCAGTCTATTGATCCCCATAAATTTCCTCTGTCTCCCATTCCTTCTTGCCTCTACTCCATTCAGCTCAGATTAGATTTTATGGTGCATTATAATCACTCCCTTGAAAACACCCTCAAAGTGAGGGCCCCCAGCCAACATGACCACCCTGGGACAGGAAAGGCGCCAACACCCCTGGCCCGGTTGGGGTGCAGACCGGTGGAAAACAAAGAGCTGGGAAGGACTCCACTCGCGCCCCATCGGGAGGCCTGACACGCGCTGTGAACCTGGAAGGGTCTCGCGCTCTATTGGGGAGCCTGTCTCACTCACTGTGAACTCGGAATAGTCGAGGTGTGGCACTTAGGGCGATCCTAGAGCCCGAATCTCAAAAGTTTGGTGGAGGGGCACACACTTTTACGATTCCCAGGGAGGGCGCAGTGAATCCCAAAATGTCTCGGGTGCCTTCTGAGATCATAGAGCTGGAACCCTGCAGGGCCCCGGAGTCTGGAAGAACAAGGCAGTGAGCTCTAGAGAGCGAGTTTGCTTGGGAGCGCCCAGGGTACCTGAGAGACTTGCTGAGATCTGACCGGGAAGAGAGAGAAGCATTTCAAAGGTCCCTCAGCCAGCTGAAGCCAGCAAGATCAGAAAAACTGGTCTGGCCAGTTAGAAACCAACAAGAGGTTTTTCTTATTTTGTTTGGTTTGGTTTTGTTTTTGTGGCTGTTGTTGGTTGATTGATTTTATCTTGTGTTTTATGTGACATTTTATTTTTCAATTCTTATTATTTTTATCTCGCAATCCCTTATGTTTCTCTTCCATTCATCCTAATATTATTCTTTCCACTCCAAATTTATCTCTCCTGCACTCCATCTTCTGCTTTTCTTTCCTTTCTTTTTTTGAATCTTGCAAGTTATTGTAAATTTGTATTATCTTTTTCTCACTTTTCCAACATTTTTTATTTTAATAGTATTTTGGTATTCTTTTTCTTTCTGTATAATCTTCTTTGCTTGGCTGGTTATACTGTCACTTGATAGGTTCCCCCTGGTATCTCAGTCACAATGTGTTGATAATTTACTATTCTTCATCTGTGTTCCATTAATACACCTCTCAAGGTTCTATACTCTTTATTCTTGTTATCTAGATCTCATCAATTCTGCCACAAGACTGTCACTTTACTATTACTGTTAATAAGGCGTAGTTCATACAATTGTAAATACTACTCAATACCCCTACCTGATCTCAGCCCACCTTGCAATTTTCTGAACTATACTATTGTGGGGGTTGTCTCTATTCTTTTACACACTACTCCTATATACTAATCTTTAATCCAATCATACCTTAGAATCTGACCTCCCACAGCCTCACAGCTTTCTAGATACAACTAACAATCCTCTCATCCCCAATAAGAGTCTTACTCTCTTTCCATCCTTTCTAAAACGTGAATAGTGGGGTGGAGGATCACGGTTAACACTATAAGGAGCAAAAGGATAACCCATCTCTTCTCTACTGGCTGCTAATGTAAATATCATAGTAGATTGTATTGCTGTCTTAAACCATTTCGCTTTACTCCTCCAACTGTTCACAAAAAAAGAGTAGGGGAAAGCTGTGAACACCAGGATACACAAAGGAGACTGCACCGCTGAATCTCACAAATATTCTACCACAGAAGTTCACACCATAATTACAGGGAATCAGAACAGATCAATTTAAGAAACAAGAAGAAAAAAGAAACCCACAAACAATGAGAAAACAAAGAAACAACCCCCAATTGAAGGGAAACGAGGAAGCCTCAGGAAAAATGCTAAATGAAATAGAGGCAACTCAACTATCTGATAGTGAGTTCAAAACTCACTAGTGATTACCAGGAAGTTCAATGAACTCACAATGAGCTATCAGAAATTAGAGGGAAACTACATCAACCTCCTGCAAACTATATAAACATGAAAAAGAAAATAGAAACTCTCAACAAAGGTCAAGAGGAAATGAAGAATACAATTTCTGAACTGAAGAACACAGTAGAAGGAATGAAAAGCAGGATCGATGAAGCAGAAGATCGGATTAGCGAGCTGGAGGACAAAGTAGAAAACAACATCCAGAAAGAGCAAGAAAAGGAAAAGAGGCTCGGAAAGAATGAAGAGGGATTAAGAGAAATGCAAAACAATATGAAATGTAATAATATCCGTATAATAGGGATACAAGAAGAGGAAGAGGAAGAAGAAGAAGAAGAAGAAGAAGAAGAAGAAGAAGAAGAAGAGGAGCAAGGGATCAAAAACCTAGTTGAAAAAGTAATGAAGGAGAACTTCCCTAATTTGATGAGAGAAAAAGTCATACAAATCCAGGAAACACAGAGAGTCCCAATCAAGAGGAACCCAAAGAGGCCCACCTCAAGACACATCATAATTAAAATGGCAAAATTCCAAAACAAAGAGAGAATCTTAAAGGCAGCAAGGGAGAAAAAGGAAGTAACATACAAGGGAGCCCCAATAAAGCTAACAGCTGACTTCTCAATGGAAACACTTCAAGCCAGAAGAGAATGGCAAGAAATACTCCAGGTAATGAGAACCAGAGGTCTGCAACCAAGGCTACTATATCCAGCAAGGCTCTCAATCAAGATAGAAGGCCAAATAAGAAGCTTCCCACACAACAGCGGTCTAAAAGAATACACCTCCACCAAACCAGCTCTGCAAGAGATCCTAAAGGGACTGCTTTAAGGAAGGGAAGAAAAAGGGGGGGGGGGGAGAGGACACACGTACATAAAAGACAATGAATAAGTACCTATCAATAATAACCTTAAACATAAATGGATTAAATGCTCCAATCAAAAGACATAGAATAGCTGAATGGATAAGAAAAAATGACCCACATATCTGCTGTCTACAAGAGACCCACCTCAGGATAAAAGACCTACACAGGCTGAAAGTGAAAAGCTGGAAACAAATCTTCCAAGCAAATGGACAGGAAAAAAAAAGCCAGGGTAGCAATACTCACATCAGACAAAATAGACTTCCAAAAAAGGTCCATAAAGAGAGACCCATAAGGTCACTTCATAATACTCAAGGGAAGAATCCATCAAAAAGATATAAATATTGTAAATATATATGCACCCAACATAGGAGCACCCAAATACATAAAGAAAATCTTAGAGGACTTCAAGAAAGATATGGATAGCAACACAATTATAGTGGGAGATTTTAACATCCCACTATCAAAAATGGACAGATCTTCTAAACAAAATATCAACAAAGATATTGTGGTATTGAACAATACCCTTGATGAAATGGACTTTACTGATATATACAAAGCCCTCCATCCAAAAGAACATT